ATGCGTAGCCCTAGGGAGAGTGTTGGGGAGGAGTTTCCCTCAATTCTAGAACTCTCCGGAACATAAAGATACAAAGTTGTAGCAAGCAAGCAAAAGCAGATATGCAAAAGCAGGAACAGGCGGTGGGAGAGAGCGAGATGGATCAGCTCAGAGTGTCTGGGCTATCTCCCTCTCACTGGCTAATGTAACTGCCTGCCTGCCTGTCTGTCTGTCCTCCTCTGGTGAGCAGACTTGAAATGTCTCCTTTCTCCTGTGTGTTGCCAGGACTGCTTTCAACTAGAGACTGTCTATTCATTTTTTAGGTTTGTTCAAGGTCTGTATTTGATCTCATGACCTTCTCTTAGGACATTTTCTTCTTTTTGAACAAGTTTCACATTGAAGGCTGGAACCAGGGTTTTACAATACACTGGCAGGCTGCCTAAACAAGAAACAGGACTCAAGCTGCCTCTTTAAAGGGAGTCCTTTCTCCCACTTCCCTTGCTCATGTCTTCCACCTAACACGAGTGTACAGGAAAGTACCAAGTAAAAGTACATACACTTCTCCCTCACCTAGAAAAAAAGCCGACATATATGCCCAAAGAAATGCCTACAGATTCAAAAATGTCCACACACACTTTTGGTTTTCTCCAGCTCTGGGTCTCAGAACCTTGGACCTTGAGCAGGTTAGGCAAGTACTCCACAGGGAACTAGAGCCCTAACCCACAATTTAAAAAAAAAAAAAATAGCCCAAGCTGATGTAAAAATTGCAACCCTCATCCCTTCACCTCCCTTCACCTGGCATTACAGAGATGTGCCATACCCAGCTGCCTTGTTTTAAAGCAGTTTTACAATAAATTACACAGGCAGTATAGAGAGATCACATCTATTTTCCTTTCCCCATTCAGTGGCCCCTTCTTTTAACAACTTGCATTAACATTGTACATGTATTATAACTGATCAGCCAATATTGATACATTGTTATTACTTAGTGTTATACAGTTTTGGTAAATACATAATATATCCATTGGTACAATCACTTATAGAATAATCTGGAACTCTCTCTTCTTAGTTATGGGCTAATTTTAGATATAAGAGCTAACTAGCAAAAAGCTTGAGCCATGGCCATACAGTTTTAATTAATATAAGTCTCCGTGTGTTTACTTGGGGAACTGGAGTGGGAGAGATTTGTCCCGACTGCTGGCAGGCCAGGACACAGGAAATCTTCAGACTACAACAGGCACCAAAACGTGGGGCAAGAGTTTCCACCTAAAACATAAGAAAGCTTTAAAAAAAAAAAAAAAAAAAAAAAAAAAAAAGATTCTAAAACGGAGCAAAAAACAGCTTCCTAGTTACGTTTCTCAGGCCAGCTACGGCCTGTGGGCTTGAGCAGGTTTGTGGCGTTCAGGCTTGACCTGCAGCCTGGCAGGTTCCCACCAAGGTACACAGAGGTATCTCCAAGTGGCAAATTACACTGCATGGTGGATTTAGCATTTGCTAGCACAGACAAACAAAAAAGACTTCTGGGCTACATGTTGCTTCCATAGAAGCATAGACCCACTGCCTCCCAGATTCAGCGGACAGTGTAACTCCCGGAGCTGTCAGTGAATTATTTCCACTACATTGAAAAGCTGGGATGGGCGGAGTCAGCAGCCAAGGCTGCTGCTTCAGTACTAACCACTGCAGTTTAAAGCAATAAATTCACAATAAGGCAGATTCAGATGAGATAATCCCTAAACAGTTTACAGTGTGTATAAAAATGTATGTAGAATTAAAAGAGAGAGGAAAAGGAATATAGACAGTTATATAAAGAAATAAAGTTTTAAAAAATAAGGTCTTTAAAGAAAAAATAAAAGTAATATATAAAATAAACCAGGTAAAGATGGAAATCACACAGAGAATCTGGATTATATTGTTGCTGAAATTCTTAACAGCAGAAAAAAATTTGATTGTAAAAGCTGCTGAGTTAAATCAATATGTATATTTTAAAGATATCGTTTTTTTCAGGTTTTAAAACTTTATTTGCAAATTTAAAAAATTATGCATTCCAATAATTAAAATCATTTGAACAAAAAAAAATGGCACTCTGATTAAACTGCATTTTACATCCTGCACGACACCTTGGGCCACCTTGAATTTTACTCTGTATTTCACCACCTCCCACCCAACTTTTTCCTTCACCAACATACAAGTTCTTTTCCCTCCCTGCCAGCCAGACCGACAGAAGGGTGGGAGAGGCAGGGGAGGCCTTCCTGGTCAGTAGTTCCGATTCTTTGATGTGAAAGGGGCAGCACCGTCATTTAAACTTGATCCAACCTCTTTGCATCTTACCAAGTTAAATAGCTAAAGAAGTAAAATAGGAAGGCAATGCTTGTGGAATGTACAGCCTGTATTGGTGGCATGCGCCTCATTACAATTTGCCAGCTTGCTTCTCCTGTTCAATCGTTTCTTTTGAAGGCAGAGGATTTTTCTCTTGCATTTCTGTCTTCTTCAATTTTTACTTATCAAATTTCTCGATCTCTGCCATATGGGTTTGTCAGACATGGTTGCCGGAAGGAGCCGAGCAAAGTGTGCAAACAGAGTTCGATCTGCTCAGAGGCCACTGCTGATTTAAAGATATCTTGATTTCAAAATTTATGTCTAAGGATACATTGTTGGTTTTTAGTAGTGCTCTTACCCTGGGAGGAAAAGTCACGAAACATGACAGAATCCACTAACATGAGTTTTATTAAGATGAGGAGAGAAGGATAGATGTGATTAGGAATGCTGAAAGGATACGTGTGTGAAGGGGGTGGGGGAACATGGGAACCAGCTTTTAAAGGCTAAGCCACACCTGCACACACAGGCCCACATGGCTATTCCACACATGTGCATAGATCACATGGTTGTGCCCATGCTTTGCGCAACAATGAAGTCAAGGGGTCGTGAGTCACACAGGACATACAACCTGGAAATGACTAGGCAGAAATGACGAAGTGTCCCACCAGGCATGCTCGACCTTGGGGGGTCGTGGTGGGAATTCCTATCATATGAGGCTTTGAAAAAGAGGTTCTGTTTTTTGTTTCCACAGAAGATGAGAACCTATGGATTGCTTTCAGGCTAATATGGTTTGATCAAGGAAGACCCCCTGAGAGGCCGAAATGATCCAACATCCAAAAACAGCTTCACAACAACTGGCTCAGAGCATACAGCATCACAGAGTACTCCAGTCAGGATTTAACCATAATTCTTAATTTTCTCAGGATCCCCATAAGAATATAGCACACTTTATCAGCTGGAAGTAGCCTAGAAAACTATGCCCATATTCCCAAAAAATGGATTATGGATGTTTGTCTTTGTTTAGGTTGTTGGTTACAAATTGTTACTGGTCATAGTCAATATCTTTCTAAAGAAAAAGAGAGATACAATATAGATATGATAGGATGAAAGGGTAAATTAATGAACGTACTTTTAAAGAACAACAGCTTGTTTAAAAATGTTTTACATTGCTATGGATTTTAGTTTATTGATACAAATTTAGAGTTGATTTTATTATAATATATATATCTACTCTCACTTAAGGTATTATGTTTATATAACATTTAAATTATAAGAATAATTTAGAAATACAGACTAATAATTATTCTTCTATGATAGTCAAACTTATAGTCATGTTAAGATATCTAGGTATACATAGATATATTTCAATTAGGTAGGTAATCTTCAAACACTTCAAAGACCTACAGAATATGGCATTTAAAATGTTTTAAAAACTGAGACATTCCTGGACAATGAAACACATCTGCTCCTGGCAGCACCAATTAATTCAAAGAGAAAGATGGGCATACACTCCATATGCAGTTTATCTTGTTCATGGTAAAACAAGAAACTGTTCTTGCCTAGACTGCTTGACAAAATGTTGTATCGACTGGACATGCGGGACCCATAGGAAGGTGACCACTGAACTTTACAAGGCCAGATGGTCCTTCGGGTTCCTGCTTCACAGAGGAGACTGCCAGACATTCTGCAGGACACAAAAGTGACTGAGAGACTCTAGATCTGTGGACTGAAGAATGAATGCCCCAACGACGCAGAACTTTGGGTAGCTGTCCAGGTAGCCAGCTGTCTCTGTCATTCTAGATTTTTGGAGGTTGCTTACAATGCTCTTCCTGTTTACTTAGATAATATTGTATCCTTCTGAGGTCTTTGATATAGTTGAAGACTAGATAGTTATAATTATGGTTTTCCTTGGTTATGATAAGAGATAAGGTAGATAGGAAACCTTAGACTCACAAATATAGGAAAAATAGGATATCTTCTTTAATTTTGCCAAATACAAATAGTCTAAATATTATAACTATAATTCTTGCTTGATAACTGTTTTGTTATATGTAATTTTACTAAATTGAAGTTATAAACCTTCCTTTTAAATAGAAAGAAAAGGGGAAATGATGGGTGATGTCGATCTGTATGCTGTGAAAATGTGTTGCTCTGGGATTATTTCCCAAACCTCTAAATTTAACCATGAGTCCCAGGTACAGACTGTAAGCCAGTATTTGGTGCCTACTTCATCCCAATTGCAGGTCCAATGTTTGACACCTGAGTGACAATCCTGGGAAGGATTTTCCCACTAAATGGAAATGTTTGGGTCTTTGTACGTGCCCTGGGCAGATTCAGTCTTGCAGCCCAGGAAGCAATGATAATCCCTCTTCCACTTATGATGATGGCTGGGCACCCATAAAATTGTGAATGCCATAGGGCTGTTTCCCAGACCTTAGTCCCACATCCTGGGTGGTTTGAATGACAACTTTCCCACTCAGCCATGACTTCACTTCAAAGAAGTCACACAGATCAAATCTAAACACAGGTTTGGAGGTAGCATTTCAGTAAATTATTTTTCTATCTGAGGTTCAATACAATTCCCAATCCCAGATCTCAATATTTATCATTGGCCATACATAGGAGTTCTGGTTAAAATTCCCAGCATCAATGTCAGCCTGAGTATGAGGCAAGATGAACTGCACCATCAGAGGGCACTAGGGATCTCAGGGTACCCTCCACTTTTATTTTTTATTTTATTTTTTTTTGGGGGGGGGCAGGTCATGTCGGTCTTTAGATTGGAATGGTGGTCAGGATGACAGCCCCTCCCAGGTTCCAGGTTTTGCTTGGTAGGCAGGAAACCCACACCAATTCCCAGGTTGAAACTTGTGTGCTGATCGAGTAAAAGGTAGGGATGGTGGTGGAGGTGGGAGACTCTGGATGTCCTGGGTCGTCTGCTGCAATGCCTGTAAGGACTTAAGGAAAGAATAATTAGACATTTCCATGGTCTGTGGCCTTCCCTTTGTAGGAATAAGTAGAGGCAGGCGGCCAAACATTATTTCAAATGGTGTTAGCTTGTTGGGGAGGTGAGGTAGAATTTAATCTATGTTTCTTTTATAGTCCTGTTAGCTCTTTCTACCTGTCCTAAGCCTTGGGGCCTATAGATACACTGTGATTTCCAATGTATTCCTAGAGTTTTAGCTTCTTTCTGAGGCACATTGGATGTGAAGGTTGGGCCATTGTTGGACCCAAATGAGGAGGGGAAGCCAAATGGGGGATAATCTCCATCAGCAAATTTTTAGTAACCATATTAGCTGTTTCTGACCCAATGTGGAAAGCTCCTGCTCATCCTGAAAAAGTAACTATAAAAACTAGCAAAAGCCAAAACAAAACAAAACAAAAAATACTATAAAAACTACAAAATCTTGTTGGAGTAACTTGAGGAAAATCCAATTCCCAGTGTTCGCCAGGACTAAGTCCCCTTTCCATAACACCTAGAGGTGCTGTTTTCGTTTCATTTTGTTTTGTTTTGTGTTGTGTTGTGTTGTGTTGTTTTGTTCTCCTCTTGGGTTCACCTGGGCAAAGATGGTATAGCAGCAGATAATTTCTTCAGCTGTTTCATCTGGGTGGTGTAGAAGGTATCTGTCTCTAATTAACTCTTTCAATTTGATTGATCCCAGGTGTATACTCTGATGAATTTTGGAGAGAAGGGATGGCCATAAGGCTTCTGGTAGAATGGGGTATCGATCTGGGAGAACCCACAAGTCCTCTATCTTGGTGGACCCCTGCTGTCTGGCCCAATTTTTTCCCTCACTGGTGTATGTAGGACACTTACTGTGGTCCTCAACCTTACTTTAATACAGCTCCTCATGCCGGGCGGTGGTGGCACATGCCTTTAATCCCAGCACTCGGGAGGCAGAGTCAGGTGGATCTCTGTGAGTTCAAGGCCAGCCTGGTCTACAGAGTGAGTTCCAAGAAAGGCGCAAAGCTACACAGAGAAACCCTGTCTCGAAAAACCAAAAAAAAAAAAAAAAGCTCCTCATGTTGTAGTGACTTCAAACCATAAAATTATTTCATTGCTACTTCATAACTGTAATTTTGCTACTGTTATGAATTGTAATGTAGACCTAAGGGGTCGTGACTCACAGGTTGAGAACCACTGCTGACCAGGCAGGAGGAGAATCGAGGGAGGGTTCAGTGCTTTCAGTGGTCCCACTGATTCTGTGGCTGTTCTTTTTTGCTGTGACATCAGCAAATCTGTTGTCCCAGGCTTCACCTAAGTCCCCTTTTTGGTGCCCTGGACAATGGGTAACAACCAGTTTCTCCCAAATAACTGCTATGAGAGCAGAGAGCTCCTCTTTGTGTTTTGCTGTGGGCTGTTCTGTATGGCAAATGTGTTGCTCTGATTGGTTAATAAATAAAACACTGACTGGCCAGTAGCCAGACAGGAAGTATAGGCGGGACTAACAGAGAGGAGAACTGAGGGAACAGGAAGGAGAGGGGACTGCAGCCGCCGCTGCCAGGACAAGGAAGATATAAGGTACCAGTAAGCCACGAGCCACGTGGCAAAGTATAGATTAATAGAAATGGGCTGAATATAAGAGTAAGAGCTAGACAATGACAGGCCTGAGCTAATGGCCAAGCAGTTTACATAATGTAAGAGTCTGTGTGTTTATTTTATAAGTGGGTTAAGGGACTGCCTGGACTTGGCAGGACCCAGAGAGAAAAACTCAATCTACAGTGTTTGGTTTCCTTTCCTGAGGAGGTTAACAGGTCCTGCTTCTGATACAAAGCACCATGGATGTGTGCAGCGGCAGAGGCATATCGGCTATCTGTGTAGATGTTGACTATGCAGGTGTTCCCCCACCATACAGCCTGGCTCGAGGCTATCAGCTCTGCCTTTTGGGCTGCTGTCCCTTTAGACAGAGATTGGACCCAGATTACCTCAGTGAGTGTCACCACAGCTGCTCCTGCAGACCTGACTCCATACGGTACATAGCCACTTCCATCAGTCAATAGGGTCATGTCTGCCTTTCCTGAGAGGCTGGTTATAGTGGGTAGCTGTTCCAGCTTTGACCTTGAAGCACTGCCCCTAGTGAGAGAGCCAGTAATTACCACACCTACCTATGGCCTGCCCCTGGGGCGTGACTGAAACAGGAGCCCTTAAGACCTGAGATTCGGGGCGGTGGTGGCGCACGCCTTTAATCCCAGCACTCGGGAGGCAGAGCCAGGCGGATCTCTGTGAGTTCGAGGCCAGCCTGGGCTACCAAGTGAGT